TGTGCACAAGGCATACCCTGGGCAATTTTCCACATTGTTGGGTAAATGCCAGTGTTGTAGCTGTACAGGAACAGCTTGGCTAGGGGAGCGGCAAGTTCTGGAGCACGTTGTCAGGGTCCATAATCTTTGCAGTATCCAGTGCTACCAACCGTTTCTTGATATCACATGGAGTGAATTGAATTGGCTGAAGACTGGCATCTGTAGTACTGGGGACCACTGGAGGAGGCCAAAATGGGCTATCCACTCTGCATTTCTGGCTGAAGATAGTTGTGAATGCTTCAGTCTTGCCTTTGCCCTGATGTGCTGGGTTCTTCCATCACTGGGGATATTTGTGGAGTTGCCTCCTCCAGTGAGTTGTTTAATTGTTTATCACCATTCAAAGTTGTGACAGAGCTATAGAGCTTAAATCTGATCTGTTGGTTGTGAGATCGCTTAGCTTTATCTTTGACTTGCTGCTTATGCTGTTTGATGTGCAAGTAGTCTTGTTTGATAGCTTCACTAGGTTGACCCCTCATTTTTAGCTGTGCATGCTGCTGCTCGTGGCATGCCCTCCTGGATACTCCCTTGTTCCCCTGGCTTGATTGTAGTTGTAGAGCGAGGGATATGCTGGGCCATGAAGTTGCTGATTGTATTGGAGTACCATCCTGCTGCTGATGACCCACAGGTGCTTCATGAGTTGCTAGATTTGTTGGAAGATTATCCCATTTAGCACGGTGATAGTGCCACACAAAATGATGCAGGATATTCTCGGTGAAGATGGACTTGCATCTCCACAAGGACTGTATGTGGTAATCAGCAGGAGATTTCCTTACCCATGTTTGACTCGATGCCAGATGGAGTTTATTTTAGGTAAATGTGAGATGCTGCATTTTGGACAAGCAGATCGGTGAGGACTTGTACACTTGATGGTAAGGTCCTGGGGAGTGATGCTGAACAAAGAGACCTTAGAGTGCAGGTTTGTAGATCTCGAAAGTAGAGTCATAGGTAGACAGGATAGTGAAGAAAGAGTTTGGTATGCTTGCCTTTATTGAGTATAGGAGTTGGGAGGTCATGTTGCAGCTGTACACAACATTGGTTAGGCCACTTCTGGAACTTGCGTTCAGTTCTGGTCTCCCTGCTATAGGAAGGATGTTGTGGAACTTGAAAGAGTTTAGAAAAGATTTACAAGTAAGATGTCAGGGAGAGGCTGAACAGGCTGGGGCTATTTTCTCTGGTGTGTTGGAGGCTGAGGGGTGACCTTTTAGGGGTTTATAAAATCATGAGAATAGATAGGATGAACGGCCAAAGTTTTTTTCCCCAGAGTAGTAGACTCCAAAACTAGAGGGTACCGGTTTAACGTGAGAGGGGAAAGATGTAAAAAGGACGTACGAGCAACTTTTTCATGCAGAGGGTGGTGCGTGTATAGAATGAGCTGCCAGAGGAAGTGGCGGAGGCGCGTACTATTACAGCATTTAAAAGTCATCCGGATGGGTGTATGAAAAGGAACATTTAGAGGGATATGGGTCGAATGTGGAAAATAGGACTCGATTAATTTTGGATATCTGGTTGCATGGGTGAGGTGAACCAAAGGGTCTGTTTCCTTGCTGTACAGCTCTATGACTTTAATCTCTGCTACATTCCCATGGCAATTACCTGATCAATCCGAATATACCTGTCTGGTCTGAATTCAGATTGACGGCCGATCTTGCTGCACCTCCAGGCAAGGACAGCCTCATTAGTCACTACTCATGCTGTCTCAACTCTCACTTTTTCAACTCAGCTTCTTGAGTCACATTGTGAAGATGAAAAGCTTTGAATTTTTGTCTCCTTTTGCAATGTGTAAGATCTGGTTCTTATTAGGTTGAAAGGTGCTAATATGTTGACATTTGAGACAAATGGCTTCTTGGAAAGCATCTGAGTAGTTTTGTGTTCAGTTAATGTATTTTTCTTTAATACCTAGTGAAGAGGATGAGCCATCAAAGGAAGAGACTTCGAGTTTGAAAGAAAAATCCACAGGAAACAAAAAGTCTAATAGATTTCATCCATATTTAAAAGAGAAGGCGACAAATGGAGACAAGAAGGGTTATAACCGGAACAGAGTGTTTATCAGCAATATTCCATATGACACAAAGTGGCAAGTGATTAAAGACCTTATGCGAGAAAAAGGTAATTTATGGAAGGAATTTTTACACACGAATAACAATACTTTCCAAAATCAATCTAGCATTTTATCTGTTAAAATTTTAGAGGTTTGTTTTAATTTTATTGATGACGTAGCAAGCATAAATAAAATTGGAGAACTTTCTACATTCATGATCCAGTCCACACTAATGAGACCATATTTTTTTCTGCTTTGAATTTAGCCTTAAAACATTTAGCTTATGTGAAACATCAGGGCAGATGTTAAAGCTGATCTTTGCTTTGATGTAAATATATGCAATTTTTTTATCATGTTTGATCTAATCTGTAATGTTAAAATCAATTATGCATGAAAATGAAAACTATCTTGTGGAGTGGAACAAAAAGTACTTTTAAGAGCTTGACATCCTGCTAATTCATGTGCTTTACTTGCCTGTCTTTACAAGGGTGAATATATTGAAGCTTTTATGATAATGTTGTCCAGAGAACTCATTCAAAAGTATCATCAGTTCCATGATGTGCAGTCAATGACTTTGCGTAGTGTATTCTGCCTTAAAAAACATGAAAGGAAAGAAAATACATAATACTGGAAAGCTACAGGTTGAAAGATATTTGTTGGGCAAAAATATTCCCTGTGGGATCGCAAAGGTGCCGCCTGGAATGTTTCTCTTTGGGGACGTTATATAATTGCAGCAAAAACATAAGTTGCTGGAAAAGCTCAGCAGGGCTGGCAGCATCTGTGAAGAGCTGTTCTGTGGAAGAGTCACCAGACCCGAAATTCTGACTTTTCTTCTCAGATGCTGTCAGACCTGCTGAGCTTTTCCAGCAACTTCTGTTTTTGTTCCTGATTTACAGCATCTGCAGTTCTTTTGGTTTTAATGTAATTGCACGTTGTTTATTGAAATGTCACTTGAGATGAAGGTGATGCTAAAAACCTTTAGTAGACATTGAAATTTTTCTGGAAACGTCCAAAATTTAGCTCAAAGCATCTTCCTTTTTCAAAAGACAAATGGAAATTTTCTTCAGTATGGAGGATTTGTACCGAGAGATACATGAGCCATAAAGAGTGACATGTCTGTTTCCTTGGCATTAACTTGGGATCATTATCATTTTATTACTGTTGTAAATTCTAGTGGATCCATGTTGAATCATTTGGAACAAAATCATTTTTGGGTGAGAAATATTTCTCATGGAATCTGAGTTGCTTCTCAGATTGGTCAAAATCTTTCTGGACCTTTTTGTTTAAACCTTTTCCAGATAGATTAGTCATTTCTTGGGAGAGTAAGAATTTGCTGATTTCCCAAAAAAGTTCAGGCGCGGGAAGTCCATCAGCATTTTGCATTTTCAGGCCATACATTTCTACAACTTGGTTATCACTGGATATTTCAAGTCCCAATGTTGTTTAAGTGGAACCTATATTTCATCTAGCTGTATGGTGATTTGGTTATGCAGTTTGGATCTAAAGATTCTGGATTCTTTGAAAATGAGTTTTAAGATTGTAATACATTATTGATCATTCAGATGGCGTATCCAAGAGGTTAGATAATTTATTTTTCAGCTCTGGCTTTCATTGAAATTTTAAATTCATAGTCTGGGACATGAGGAAGTAGTAAAGTATGTGAACTTGGATGTACCTCTTGTAGTTTGATAAGAGGAAAAGAAAATGTGTATTTATACAGTAGCAAGCTACATTAGTCTCAAATCCTTTGCAGCCAATTGTTGAAGTGAAATCTGTATTCTTTGTCAACAAGCATCTTTAAAAAGGTGTTAAGCAATAAAATAGCTAAAAATGTGATAACCACTGCTTAGTAAAAGCTTACATTCAGAGCTTTGAGTATAATTTGCTGATGCCCCTTACACCTCCAATAGATGGAAATTCTAATGGCGACTTCCTGGAATCTTGTCCTTACTTTCTAAGGACCTATGATACAAAAGTTAAATTGTTTTTGTTCGGTGTTACAGTCTCGATCATATTCCATATTGTGTACCATTGGGATTGAGAAACCAAGAGAAAATTAAGACCTAACTCGGTGTTTTTGGTTCATGTTTTGTAGGTGGAGGAAACTGAATTATAGGATAGGCATTCACATGGTTGTTGTACAATATGAGTTTGTCAAGTTGTTTGCTTGGCAGTTACTTGGTAATTATTTCATCCAGAGCCTATCTTTGGAAGACATAGTTGGGGAATCTGTGCCCATGTATGTTTTCTTGGAACGTAGTTTTGCACTTAGTGGTGTCGTCATATTAATATTTCAGATCCAGAATATTGAGCTCCGCTATACTGCCCTATCTCATTTATGTTAACAAGATTACATCACTTGGCAGTTTGGAAGTTTCTGTTTTGTTTTTATCTTGAGAAATCCTGTTTCCAGAGTCCAGATTTGCATCAAAGGAAATTTTGAGGTCTGTGCAGTGAAAGAATTGGTATGTAGAATTGGAATGTTTTTGTTTTTGCTAATGCTTTCCTTTTTACTGACAATGGCAAATTGGCTGTTGGTGTGTATTGCCTTGTATTGCTACTTGGCTGTTCAGGACCTACTAAGAAAGTTTGTGACTAATTCATCTTGGCTGTGACAGTGCAGCAACACATTCTTCTGTTGGCAAGTGCTTTTTGAGTAACCTTCACAGTGGGCAATTTTGCAATTGAGCTGGTTGATCACATTCAAGTGATTGTCAACATGGTTCAGTACCATATGTATAGGATGACTATTGAATGTCTGATATAGGTGTGGTATTTCTCATTCTTTTATATTGTTCAGTTCCACATGCAAAGCTCCTTCCTTTATTTCTTCTCTTCAATTATAACTAGACAAATCTTTATTTATTCTCAGAATTTTTCAACACCCCAGGGTGTATGAGATGTTTAATAAATGTATACAGGCTTTGGTAGAGCACCTGATGAACGCATGACACAAAGCTCTTAAGAGACAGCATTCCTATTTTCTCTTAGAATTCTAACTGTTGCTTGACTGAACTATATTAGTGAGCACAGTTTTGGAAATAAAATTGCAGTTACGGTAGGTAATTAAAATTATGTAAAGGTAATTAAAATTGTGTAATGACTTGTTTCGCACTTCGTGACACGCAGTATTGTATTTTTCACTTTAGATTTTGGTAAATGATAAAATAGTTTTGATTATCATGGATGAGTACAACTTAAAACTGCATAATTTTTAAAAACGTATTATCCAAAACTGCATATTTTTTGCAAACTGATTTTACAAGTGATGAATGACTAAGAGCATTTTGAGGCTGTCTAGCAGAGCCGTGTGGACATGTGAGACAAGGCATCAAACATTGTAAAGGCCTTCTTTAATCAGGATTTGTTTTGTTTGCAGCCAATTGTATAATTCTGGGCTTTGTTTAGGCCTCAGGATGGATTATTAAAGTCCTGTAATAGATGGTTGAGCATTGCAACTCCTAAATACATAGACAGTGAAATTTCCTTATTGTGCACATGGCAATGTAGGGTTTTTTCTGGTGTAAGGAAATTGCATCTGGAAGAGAAAAAGTAGAAAATTACTGATGCTTGCCTTTAAGTTATTGGAGAAAACTGGAAGCTGATATACTTCCTTTATTGTCCTTTTTATTAAGTAAGATGGACTTTGGTTCCAAGTATTGTTCTTATTAATGCCTTTACTATTGAGCCAACTATTGGAGCTTAAATGATCTTGTGCTAAGTAAAATGTAATTTTTGATGTTTGCATCTGTTGTAAGGTGACACAAAGTTTTAATTGTGAAGCTCAATGTGTTGGATTTGGATTTAGATTTTCATGCCATGATATGGCTGAATTATTGCTTTTGTGTGTTGTGCAACAAGCATTTTCATTGCAGTATTGTGTTTATGTATTTGTGACTTTACACATCCAGGGTTGTAAGCTTTGTCACCTTAAAACAGTGTATTTTGACTGCCTCAAAGTTGGCTTTGATAGGAAAATGTAACTTGTTTTAGCAATGTTGGATTGTTTATTAAATGGTAGTAACAACATTTTGTTATTTGTTCACCAACTATATCATACAGGCCAAATCTGTTTAATTAGCTGTTATACGATAGTAAATGTTGTTTGAATCTGATTTGGATGATGCAGGTGACAAATCTTTTGGGGAAAATGTTGATTTTCATTTTAAAAATTGTATGTATTGTAATTACTAGGAGGTGTGCTGGTCTGGTGTTGATTGTTGGTGAATAATGGGTTGTTCCTCTGTAGTGTTGTGTAAGTGGCAACAGTGAAGTAAGTGTGTGGTCTTTTAAATGCATTGTTTTTGGTATTTCCCCTCTGTATATCTCATGTAGTTGGTGATGTTATATACGTGGAACTCTTTAAGGATGCTGAAGGAAAGTCAAGGGTAAGTGGGAAAATCTGCTTGGGGGTTCATAAGGTCCTCAGCAGTCTTTTTTTTAAATTTATTGTTTAGTACAGGTAGCTCAATTTTAAGGTGTTTTGTTAGCTAGGATACCCTTGTATTTATTGCCAACTCTGCTTTATGCTGGAGTTTGGTTGTGTTGTCTGGTATTAAGAAAGGGATAATCTGCAGGCCTGTAGTGGATATTTTCATGTTTAATTGATTTGGACTGGTGTTAGTTTAAACAAGTTGTAATGCATTGCTTTTATAGAAAAGTAATCCTAAAATGTAGGAGGTAGTTGCAGCAAGGGCCTGTTATGTAATTTCAATAGTTTTGTGAATCCTTTCCTACAAATTGTGACTTTTTAAAGTAAAAGATTGAAATGATTATGTAATTTCATGTGCTAAATTATCTTTCTTTTTTCTTCCCTCTTTGCATTGCCTGTCATCTGAATTTAGGGTTGTGGGTAAGTTGCCATTTATCTTTGTTAATCGGTTAAGGTGTTTTTCTTTGTTTCAAATTATATATATTAAAAATTAGACGTATTTTCCCTTTTCCCTGAAATAATTCTCTTCAGTGTATCATGTTTAAGAACTATGCATTGAACTACATTAATTTTCCAATGAAAGCTCCAGACTCTGTAATTAAGTAATGCTTTAGTGTCTCCTTTTATCTTGGCATCAGAGGGGTGCATGTGGTGCTTCTTCCTCAGGTACAGTCTGCATTCACTTGTGAGTTGCCCCATTCAAATCTTCTTGGATTCACTTTAGTGAAATCAGTGACAACGAATACCTGTTGGTGATGAATGGTCTTATTGGATCAGGCAGATTTACTTGGGGATTGCTGCTGAATATCCATTTCCGGACACTTGGCCTGTGCGTGTTTACAAAATAGGTTTCAACCCCATCAGCAAAATTTGTTCAACTTTAATATCAGCTATTTTAAGAGAGCCTAGCTAATTGCTGATTGTGGGAAGATAGTATCAGCGTAGAGCTGTATAGTAGTCAGTGCTGTTTGATACACAGGTTATCTAGATATTAGTTTGTGCAAGATGCATGAAATTATCCCCACTCACCCACTGTTGTAATATTTGAAAATTGATGAAATAAGTTACTGCACTATGTTGAAAAAACTAACACTTTTCATTAAAACCTACAGAGTTGTGGAATTCAAAACTGAAGATTTAGTTTCAAAGGCTTTAGATGTTATGAACAAATATGATCTCGGTGGAAGACCACTTAATATAAAAGAGGTGAGTATTGAGTCACTTCTGTAGTCCTTTATGGTAAAAAAAAATTTAAGTAATTCGCAAGGCATAATAGTCTAATATTAATAAATTCATGTTGTCTAATGATGTGGACGTGGGAAGTTTTAACAGGTTTTAAATGGACGTTAAAGGATTGGCTCAGTGATTTCAATGTAACTGGTAAATATTGCCTGATGGTGTAATAATAAATGAGAAAAGTTAGAAATACTCAGTAGGTTAGTCAACCTGTAGGGTGAGCAGTTAACAAAACTATTGTTAAAAATTTTATTTGAAAAAATATTTAATTGCTTTCTCCACAGATTTGAGTATTTCTAGCATTTGCAGTTTTCTTCTTCATAGTTTAATTTCTTCATTACTCAAGCAGCTTAAGAGTGCTTTTTTTATGGCTTTGTTTTAATGCTTCCAAATCGAAGGGTTTTACTGGAGAAACTGAATAATTGTGGTCTTGGATAAGCTTTCAAAGCAACAGAATGATTGACTGAATCCATATAACCCTGTGGTAATGTTCCACTACCTAAGTGAATATCAATTTTCCATTTTTTCTTTTAGGGAAGAGGGTCTAGAAATCTTTTTAAGTTCTTGAGTCTCGCAAAGTTTACAGGCGGATTTGTTTTTTTAAATGATACAGGCAGTATTAATTAAACACTCTGGTTATGGTTTGAATCTGCCTGTGTTTGGTCCCATTTGATGAATTCCAAGAGGCACTGTGATTGTGTGACGCAATCCAGTAAACTCAACATTTTCTGCTCAATCTTTGGTCTTGTTTTCAATTTACGTAGCAGTTAGGCAGGTAATGGTACAGCAGGGAAAAAACTTGCCTGGGAGTGTTTGGTATTACAAAGCCTAAGGAAAAATACATAACCTAAAACCCAAAAGTCTTTTCAGTTTTCTTTGAAACATAAGATTTTGAGCAGGCTGATGGTAGATGTTGAGTGTATGTTTCCACCAGTGGGAAAATTTCAAAATAGAGGTTATAGGTATAGAATATGAGCAAACTCCTTTAGAACTGAGATGCAAAGAAATTTTCTCCTCCCACCCCCACCACCAGATGGTAGTGAATATCTGGAATTCTGTACCCCAAGGAGTTGTGGAAGCTCAGTTATTGAAAGCATGTAAATAGGAGGTAGACTTGTGAAATATTGAGGAGTTGATGGGTTTGATGAGTTGACACAAAAGGTGAACTCACGCCTGGGGCAGATCAACTGTAATTTTTTTTGGGAAGGCAAGGAAAGCCTACTCTTGCTTCTTTATCTTACGTTCTTGTGTGTGTTGCGTGTAAGAGGAAAGAATATTGCTGTCACCTTGCTATACCCCTCAATCCCTTCTATGTCCAGAAACCCATCACAATCAAATCACCACTCAATTTTCCTTTTTTTTTAAGACAATATTTACAAAGTTAGGTGTTACAAACTCAGCCATTACTGAGTAGCCTGAATGTTGTTCATCTGAAGTTCTGAACTTGTGTAACTTCTGGAAAATGTAATTTGTATTGTTTTGATGCTTTGTATAGGATGCTGATGGAGAGCATGCCCGCAGGGCTATGCAGCGTGGAGGTGGTGGATCATACCTTGGTGGACCTGGGCCAGATGTAGGTTCACCAATCATTAACTTGCCTCCAAATCTTGTCAATAATCCAAATATCCCCCCTGAGGTTCTGACTGCTCTGCAGGCTGGAAGACTTCTACCAACTGTATTTGTTGCTAATGTGAGTACAGTACATAATTTTTGTCATTTCCTATACAGAAATTGAAAGACAATTTTGTTCTTTTTAAATATTTGTTCACTTACCTGTTTGTGTTTAGCTTGACTTTAAAGTGGGTTGGAAGAAGCTGAAAGAAGTATTTTCCATGGCTGGGACGGTAAAACGTGCAGATATTAAAGAAGACAAGGATGGCAAGAGTCGTGGAATAGGAACTGTGATTTTTGAACAGCCTCTGGAAGCTGTTCAAGCTATCTGTATCTTTTTCCTCCATATTTATTTAAGATAGACACTTTTTTGCTAATGTTTTCCTAGATTATGTTGAGTATCTGCACTTTAAAGGAGGGGCCCCAGTTGTCTTTAGATGTTTGCATTTCACACTAACAAGTTACCAAGGTGTTAGGCCTAGAATTTTCTCACGTGGAACATCATAGAGTACAGCATTGGACAGATAATTCTAGTCAGTTATTTTTGCTCACAGTTAATGCAGTTGCATATTTGGTTGTCAAAATGCAACATCGTTGCTATTCCTTGTAACATTTGAAATGTTGATATCTATGATTGTTTGCTCATCACCTCGGCCTGGTTAATACTGAAAATTTCTTCAGTGAGTTCATTCATTCTGAAAACAAGCCTTTTGCTTATTTTGAAGAAGCAAATGCACAAGATGCTGAGAAATTTCAGCATTTGGATGACAGTGAGTTTTGTTATCCTCTTGTAGTTTGCTATTTGAACCTTTTTCAAAATTTATTATTTCCATGCACTGTTCTGTGAAATATGTAATATACCAGTGAGCGAGATTGTTTATCGCCCGTGTTACTATTACTCATGACTTGGTTGGAAAAAGCTACCAGCCTGCATAATAATGACCATACTGGCAAAAGGAAAACTTACCTAACAGTAAGAATAAAATCATCAGTTCTGGTGTTTATCTTTGTAACTTTTTAATTTGGTGTGACATTGACAGGTTTTTTTTTATTAGCCATCCTTTTGTTTCCCTTGGATCATAGGTGCTTCTATGTATAATTGGGTAGAAGTCTAGCTAGTCTTTCATGGTTGAAGGTACTAAGTATAATTGGTGAAGGGATCAACTTTGGGCAAAGTAACGAATACAGATCCAACTCTGAATCAACCATGTATAATCCATGTTTAAAGAAAAGGATGTATCTTTATTGGAATTTGTAGTAAGAACATTCCTTTGCAATTTTATGTATTTCATAAACAGCTGAGATCTTTTTATTCTTTGGCACTGTCAGTTTGTCGCTGGGTTGTAGTTTCCTTAACTTATTTAAAGCTATGTTCAATGGACAGCTTTTGTTTGACAGACCAATGCATGTGAAAATGGTAAGATTTGATTACAATATGTCACAACTATGATACGGAAGAGCTTGGAAGTTGTTTGGTTCTCCAGTTACAAACCAAATTCTTTGTTATACAGGATGATCGATCTGTTCCACATGATGACTTTCGTTCCACGGACAACAAAACACCACAGTTACCTCGTATGTGCCATACAAGATGCTGCATGATGAACTACATAAGATATCAATTCAGATATGCTTGATGTTAAGAAATTGGCTGATTTGCATGATTCTGTTAAAGTACTGATATTTTATACTTGTTTCAGGTGGGCTTGGAGGTATTGGATTGGGTCTTGGACCTGGTGGCCAACCAATAGCTGCAAATCAAATGAATATGAACAGTGCAATGGGAAATATGGGATCTGGAGGTATGAGATTTAGAAATAGATTCTGAATGAAAATTGCAGACCAGATTTGTAGGAACATTTTATTAGTACTGGTACTTTAACTGTTACTGGTAAATCTCTTTTTGCCTTAGGAATTGGAATGGATGGACAAGCCTATGGAGGAATGAACAGAATGGGCGGAGGTGAGTTGTCTTTGGTACTGACCCACGTTTTTGAAGTGTAAATTTGTTTTATCTCTCATTGAAAGTCTCTCCCCCTCTCTCTGTTTCCCTACCTGAAGGTATGACTGGTCCCAGTGGTTTCAACAGTGGAGTGGATCCAATGAACAACATTGGATATGGTGGTGGAAACATAGGGGCCATGGGAAATATGGGTCGAATGGCAGGTAATTATTTTTCCTCTGCTTGTCTCAATGCCTTCTTATTTTTGATATATTGGGTGACCTTTCATTTCTTCTTGTAGGTATGGGTGCAATGGATGACTTCAGAAGAAATATGGCTGCAGGAATGGGTGGAAGTATGGGAGCAATGGGTAACAACATGAGTGCTGTTGGAGGGATGGGCAGCAACATAGTTGGAATGGGAAGCAATGTAGGAGGTAAGTTTTCTTTTTAAATTGTTGTTTTGCAGCTGATGCTTTTGTACTTGTACTGATGTCAGTTTGTTGGTATACTCATTAAAGAATATCAAGCTAAATCACGTCACTCCCCAAATGCTCAATGAGTTTATGCACTGAATATTTGAGCATAAACCGAGAATATCGTATGTTCAGTTAATGTTTTGTGTCCTTACATTTGCTGGGGGTTTTTTCGTTATTTTGGAAAAAAGTGGGGCAGAATGCTTGAACCTGATCACTGTCGAGCAATCTCATACTGGATAGTACTCCATAGATATGTCCGATTTGATTCGGACTGTCTAATGTTGCCTATTATTATCTTGCGGATTTGTGGATCAAAGACCTATTATTATGCTGTATAATTCCATGGGACTAACTACGAAGAGCAAGATTAACCTCCGATTCTCAGCAACGTGAATGAGATATATATCTCTCACCATTTTTCGGGGTTTATTTTTGTATGGAAGTCGTTTGTAAACAGTAAGTTTGTGCATGTTGGAAAGCCCTTTAGAAACTTTTGATTTCTCCTGCAACCTCATAAAATTCAAAACTTTATTTTTTTTTGTTTTTCAAAGCAAGAATATTAATTTTCTGCAATTTTCAGATATGTACCGTGCAGGAATGGGATCAACTGGCATGGCAGGCAATTTTGATCGAGAATTTGGAAGAAGTGAAATGGGAATGAACCGTGGTTTTGGGGACTCATGTGGAGGTATGGGTAAGAAGCTAAGGAGACTTTTTTTGTGATGTGCAGTAAAAGCCTCTCCAAAATTGGCTTTGATACTCCTGGTTTGGCTCATGTAAGAAAAGTCACACTGGTGCAGCGGAGCTTTTTTTTTGTTTATTCATGACATGAGCATCTTCAGCTAGGCAAACATATATTGCATATCCCTGATTGTCTAGGGGTACGTTAGGGATGTCGCTGTGGATCAGGAGTCAGATGTAGGCCATAAGTATATCATATTTGCTCCCTTAGCGGGTGTTAGAGAATGGTTAGATGGTTGCCATTAGACTAGCGTTTAATTCCAGATTTTTATTGATTTCAACTGCCTGCCATAGTTAGATTTGAACACGTTCCCAGAGCATTAGGCTGAGGCTCTGGTTTACTGTCCAGTGTCATTACAACAAGGCCACTGTCTTTGCCTTTAACAGCAGGGCTGAGGGGCATTGTTGGCACAAAGCATGGTAAATATTTGATACCATTCTGCATGCCCAAATGGTTTGATCAGTTTCTTGGTAAAAATCTCTCTTGCTGAGGACCGAAATTATCTCCAGTCATTGGAGACTTATTGACGGTTGTAATATTTTTACTTTAAATATTTTCAGTAAGAGTTGATTGCTTAAATTCAGTCCTACACTTGATTTAAGAAACTATGCTTGTGATTTTTTTATTGGAGCTGAAAATTTATTTTTCCAAATGGCACTTTGTTTGTTTATCTTCCACTTACTCAATGTTTGCTGTTCGGGCCACATGTCCATTTCTTACATGCAATAGTCGCAGCCGAAATCTATTGAGCAGAGATGCCTCATCTATTTGGCTTGAATATTTTGTTCATCTATGTGCAGTGAGTTTAGAGGGAAATGCACAGCCATTTCTCAAAACCAATGGCATGGACTCAAACCGTATCTCCTTGAATGCTGGCTACCTTTCTTCCCAAGAATTGAGAAATATTATTACGCATTTTACGAAAATGAGCTGTGAGGAAATGAGTTACTTAACGGACTTTACCTCCTTCGGTGGCTAGACCACGACCAGCATTCCCACGAATTTTCTTCTGGTCTGTGTTGACCCTCTGAGGTCTGTGCATTCCAGCGTCTTCCAGATCCGAAAGTCAACATTGCAGTTGGCAAATGGAGCAGCTGCATGTGTGCAACTTAGAAATAATATTGGCTGCAAGTTAGTCTAATTGTTTTGCACAATATGGAAATTGTACATCTGTTTTAAGTGAGCCATCTATAAACATTTTCCATTGATTTTCCTCCTTTAGGAGGTGGAATGGTTGTAGGTCTTGGAGGAAACATGGGAGGTGGAATGGGTTCTACTGGCATGGGCCCAGTGGCATCTGGATTGGGTAAGTTTCAATTCTTAATAAGGAATGGCTTTCCAACCAGGAATAGCCACAAAGTACATTGATAGCTATGCATCAGATCTAATTTTCAAATTGGTTGTCCTGGGAAATGACCATCTTTTGATGAAATTGCCTTTGAACAGATCCCTTGACCTGTAAAACTATATTACAGAAAGTTCCAATTTGTGAATTGTTGGGATGGACAATAAAGACTTTTAAATTGGGGTACTTTTGTGATAATTGATGGCTTGGTGGCCAGTATTATTAACACCTTATTACTTTCAGTTAAATTGTTTGAGATGCAAAACCTGAATGAAAATGTAGTTCATGCTGGCTTTCTCTGTTCTGGCTTTGTAAAAGGCGTTTGTTGCCTTTACAAAACCATCAGTTCTTGTCACACAGTCCATAGGCTTAAAGGAAGCTGACTTTTAACACAGCTTCAAATCCTATTTGCAGATAAAAATGAGCGTTGAAAATTGCAAGTCCTCTCCACTACAGTAGAAATCTGAGGTTGGAATTAAGGTGGATTGAGCAGAATCTGGTGACCATAACCTCAGTATATCACACTGACCCCATTATTGATGGGGTTCAATAACATCTCTTTCTCAGGCTCAAATATTATTTACTTCCCTTTACATTACAATTCCATTAAGCTAAAGACCATAGAGTCCTAGAGATGTACAGCACAGAAATAGATGCTTCGGTCCAATTTGTCCATGTTCAATTAGCCTTTAATTTTTAAATTAAGGTTTTCATGATATGTGCGCTGTTTCCTATGTTTCTGTGCTCCTACATAGGTTTTACTATGTCATCTAGAAAATGTATAGATACATCTTTCTGCAGTTTAAATTGAGTGACCTGATATTGAACATCATTTGCCATAAATTTGACAAACTTAATCCGCCTGCCCCATTGCAACTTTCCGCTTCCATCTGTACTCCTTAGTATCATCTTCACACTGAATTACGCAACTCTCTGCCTTCATTCAATTTGCTTTTAAATATGAAGAAAAACTGAGTCCCATACAGGCTTCTGGGGATACAGATTTCAACCCAATCATTGTTATTTCATTGTTGAATCTTCTCCTTTAACATCCAGAAACAAAGAGAGCATTTATCTAGTTGTTCTTGTCTTGGTGAGGTTGAGACACCTAAGATCTTATTAAGATGAAGTGATTTCTGGAAAGTGTAATGTTGAGTAACCACATTCGAGAGAGATTTTGTTGAAATTCAAAGACGTTGTTCTTTCTTTGAATTGTTAATGTCGATTAATTTTTGGTATTTTTTAAAAAATTGTTGTTAGAACTTGGCTAAAAGTCTAAATATAGATTTGGATGTAGGGAAACATGGTGGCTTTGTTGGTTAGCATAGCTGCCTTACAGTGCCCGGCTTAGATGGATTAGCCACATAAAATGTAGGGTTACAAGAATAGGGTCAGGGGCTCTGTCTGGATGGGATACTCTTCAGAGAATCGGTGCAGACCCGATGGGCGAATGGTCTCTTCCTGCACTGTCAGGATTCTGTTCTCTGATTTGTATTTACATAATGTCTTTTACAAACTCGGGACGTCCGAGCTTTGCAAACATTGAAGCACTTTAAATGTAGTCACTGTTATATTTTGGAAATGTGGCAGCTGATTTCCATGTGGCTACTGTTTGATGTTTTTGGTGGTGGTGGTTGAAGGAGGTAGCTATCTAACAAACCTCTCTAATGCATGTCTGACTGCATACTGTTGCACTGATGTCTGGCCAGCTTATGTACCCCAGACTGTGGATGGCTTGAATCCACAATCTTTTGACACAGAAACACGAATACTTTACTGAACTGAGGCTGAATATGAGATAATTTGGTATATTTATAAATTAAAGTATAACCACTGCTCTTAAATACTTTTTTAAAATCTGTTTTGTATGGTTAGGTAGTGGAATGCCTGTTATGAACAGCATGCCGGGAGGCATGGCCATGGGTATTGAACGTATGGGTTCCAGCCTTGACCGAATAGCAACTGGAATGGGAGTAGGACTTGACAGGACCATGGATATGGAACGTGGATATGGAAGCTTGAACAGTGGATCGGTGGGAAGTGGAAGAGAACGTGGAAGTGGCTTCAGAGGCTGCCAGATTTTTGCAAGAAATGTAAGTAGCACATAACTTTGTTTCTTGAGCTTTTCCTTTTGAAATGAAAGGCACATGTACACATAATTATAAACTTTTTGCTTTCAGCTTCCATATGATCTAACATGGCAGAAGCTAAAGGAAAAGTTCAGTCAGTGTGGTGAGTGTTTATTCTTGTATTGCCTTAACTTTTTCACTGTGCCCCCTAATATTTTCAGTCATGAATGATTGATTAATTTTCTTGTCATATTTCAGGTCACGTCATGTTTGCAGAAATAAAAATGGAAAATGGGAAGTCCAAGGGTTGTGGGACAGTGCGTTTTGATTCCCCAGAAGTTGCAGAGAAAGCGTGCAGAATGATGAATGGCACAAAAATTAATGGCAGAGAGATAGATGTACGCATGGATCGCAATGCATGAATGAAAACCATGTGATGTACAGGAAAATACAGCTTGTCTGATTAGCTTTATTGTTCCACTTTTTGTTTTATACTGAAATTATTTCCAACAGCTTAGTGGAAGTTTGCCTGCTGAGAGCTATAACGTAATTTTAAGATTGCCAACCTTTGTAATTGAACATTGAGACCGTTGTATGTTTGTAATTTCTGTTGATGTCTGATTTTTTTTATATATAGACACAATACATTGCTGGTCATTTCTGTTTGAATGGATGAACTGTTTCTAATAAAATGTTGTCAGACTTAACTTTTTACTGTCCGTGACTATAACATTATTCATGCAGCCAATAACTAACTATACACAAACGTTTCTCTTCCTCTTCATTCCCTCCCAAAATGATGAAGTGTTTATCAGCTTGCTGTAGAGGAAAGCTCTAGGAAACTCTTTTAGGTTTCTACTAATCACTGAGTAAATGTACCACGATGTAATTTTTACTTGAGACAAATTTGCTCCCAGAAAGGATTTGGAGTTTTAAGTTAGGAGTGTATCTGAAAAGTTCACCTTTCTCTTAGCATTTTAAAAGTAAATTAACTGCTGCTTGAAGGATTAAAGTTTGCACTTTTTAAAAATAAAAACTTTTACATGATGTATGTAAGCAAATTAATCATTCAGCTTCAAGCCATTTGTGATGCAGTGGTGGCATATTCTTTCCTATTTCCCAGAAATAAACATAGTGGATAATAAAAAAACAAAAGAAATGCAGATGTTGTAAATCTGAAACAAAGCAAATTTTCTGCAAAAGTTCAGCAGATCTGGCAGCATCTGTGAAGAGAAATCAGAGTTCACATTTCAGGTCCAGTGACCATTCATCAGACCCTTCTGAGGAAGGGTCACTGGACCCACAACATTAACTCTGGTTGCATAAAGCCTCTAACAAACATGGATTAAAATTATCTAGAAATAGTAAATCTAAACTCCTTGGTTATTTGGGATGTGTTTTACTTTGGATCAATGATGTTATGTTATTTTTAACATGCATTTTTTAAATTAAATCAGTAATATTTTGCATTTGTTTGAAAAAAGCAGTAACATGCAGTTTGTTATAAACAAAGCTAAATTGTTGGATTTTAAATTTTGCAACATTGTACAATTCTGTACTGGTTCATCCTCAAGGCAGTACAGACATCAACTGGATTTCATTTGATTCTGTTCTCCAGTCAATTTGTATGTAAGTTGAAACACTATGCAAGACGATTCAAAATAGCTGCTGATAAATGAGGAAATGTTTGTGTTGGATCCTTAATTATGTTATGAATGTGCTCCCATACAGGGATGTGAGTATGAACATTTATTGGTCAGGGATTTTTTTGCCAACTGCTCATTTACCCCAACCCTAAAAGCTTATTCTCTCATGTTGATTAAGTTTTTATGAAGTTGAAAGAGAGACATGACCTTCTGTCCTAAATTTAGCTTGGAATATAACTCAATTCTGTGTCTTTTTTCCTAGATGCCTGTTTGGGGGGGAAAGAAGTCCTTTTGAACACGCACAAAATGAAACCTTATTATGTTAATAGACACCAATAGAAACTAATAGTATCCAACAAGAGGTATTTTGATCTTGATTTTGTTGTTAAGGTTAAAATCTCTAGGCAGTACAGTTCAATACATACAATGAATTTGTTATAATGTCTTGAATTGTTCCCATTTATTAGGAACCCTTTGGTCCAACATATATTTAACCAAATTCTTGTATTCGTAGTTTTACATGCAAAAATGGTTCATGGCAAGTTGTAAACTGTTTAATCAATAGAAACTTGTATGTATAAAGCACCATTTGCCTTAAAACATGCTGTAGTTCAACAGTAAAGTAAAAAATGGACTGTGCTAAAGGTCAATTTTAGGATGTGTCTCAAAACATATGCTGTTTCAGGTTAGAGCTTGGGATGCTGGTGAACAAAAGCAATGTAGGTTAGAGATCACAGTATTTGCTGCCGGTATCTCCGTTTTATGGATGAACAAGGATCTTTGAAGAACAAAGGCAGGAGTGAAATGTTAGATGAAAAGATAATTGTAACTGTGATAAAAGGTTAGATCAGCAGCTATGAACACTCTGGTGGCTGCTGTTCCAGTTGAGAGGTCCAGTTTGTGCCCGGGGAAGAACTTTAATGATGCCAAATCCTGGTATTTAATTGGGAGAAAATTTTGGGTCCTTTAAGCATGGCTAACAAAAGCAGTCTGACAACATCAATAACAAAAACAAATAACTGGAAAAGATCAGCTGGTCTGGCAGCATCTGTGGAGAGAAATTGGAGTTAATGGTTTGGGTCGAGTGACCCAAGTTAATGTTTCACGTCAAGTGACCTTCCTCAAACTTTCAAAATTTCCCTTCACAGATGCTGCCAGACCTGCTGAGCTTTTCCAGCAATTTGTTTTTGATTTACAGCATTTTTTTTTCCAGTTTTTACCAGTCTGATAGTATACTGGATAGTTGATGATTACAGTTGTCAGTATAACCATAGTACCAATTGTCTCTAACACAGTAGAAACGTGAGGTTAGGAATGGTGCGTGATGGGAAAGACCATAGTGCACTGATTAGTCATAAGTAGACATATATAGCCATGTAGCTATACTCAGCTGGACAGTGTAGGAGATGTGTTTAAGTGGCTGGTGTGATTAAACGATGGTTTCAGACCAGTAGAAAAACACAAGCATTTTATTTGAGATCTAATAAAGCTGTGGAAGGATGGATATTTGAACCTCAAATAAGAGATGAGAGAAAACTGGGCACAGATTTGGAAGATAAACAGTGTGTTAAGTGGTCTGAGTGGAAATGGAGATGGAAAATGATGGGATCTGATATAACTTACTATTCTCAACCTCCAAGATAAATATTTCAAAGGATAAAAAGTTTAAAAACTTCAGCTTTCGTTATAGCCCAGTGTCAATTACATTTTAATATTAGTCACATGTTCTTACAGGAACATTGCCTAGTATTCCCAGCTCATTCAGAATGGAGATAGTGAGGAAAACCACATAGGCAAGCAGACATGTTGCTCCAAGTTTCTTGTCTAATTTCCATCCATTGACTTTAATTGCCACAAACATGAAGATAATGGAAAGGAGGAGAGAAGCTGTTGTATAGGTCATGCCACTGCTGTTCACTTGTACAGGTGATGGGTCCACAAATGTAGTTTTAACAAACCAAGGTAGTCCTAAACAGAGCAGATCAAATACATTGGATCCTACAATGTTCGACATTGCCATGTCTCCTTTGCCTGTGAGGAAGAAAATTGTATTCAATATTAAAGCAATTCAATTCCAATACCTTGTGTTGCAATTTCTACAAAATGTCTGAATTAAGACAAAAAGACACTACAAGAACAGCAACTAAAACTTATCAAAGGTGAAGGTACTTGCAGAGATCAATGGACAATGTTTAGGAAAAACTGAGCCTGGGGCATACAAAAGACCTGGGGTTTGGAGGGGTAGAGAAGCTTAGAAATGGAAAGGTGGGGCAATTAAGAGATTCAACAAGAATGTGGTGCACCAGCTCCCAGTTTCTGAAGTTATAGATGCTGAAGTTATTGAAAAAGACCAGGAGAGTACTCAAATGGTAGTGATGAGGTTTCTAACAGAATAGACAGTGGGATGGAGGTAAAAATTGGTGGTTTGTGATGGAGATATAGAGTATGAAGCTTCATTTAGAACTAGAGGAAATGCTGAGGCTGGAAAGTTTGAAGGTGAAACTGGCTGGCAGGGAGACAAATCATGGAAAAAACACCTTTAAAATAATATCCAAAGCTTCACAAATGGTAAAATTCTCGGTGGGTGCTAAAGGCAACAGCTTCAGCCTTAATGTTTATTAAGTGGAAAATGTAGTTCCGAAAGTCAAACAGCACAGATAATGACTGGAAAGGTGATGGAAATATTGAGATCCATCTTTTTAAAAAAACTTAAATCAGGAAATTTAGACCAATTGACCAAACTGCTTTGAAAATTGTTTGGTTTTAAAGGGTGTCACTATTCTAGAGTAAGGGTGCCTGAATTGCAATCTATAACCCTCGAATGCCCTTAAATCTAGCCTTTGTCCTAGGAAGCACATGTCCTATTTACACTTTAGATTTCTTATTGGCTTACCTTGTTTGAATTTGCAGGCAGGAAAATTTTATATAAAAGCAAAATATTATGGATGCTAGAGAAAAATGAACAGGTCTAAAAGCAGAGTTAATGTTGGGTCCAATATGATTTCTTCAAAACACCAAGGTGGAGCTCGGAAGAACTGCCATATCAGACAGTTCACTCTGTTTCTCTCCACCGCTGCTGCCAGACCTGCTGAGATTTTTCAGCAGTTTGTGCTTATTTAAAAGGTGTATATGGTGTCGTCTCAAAGCACTTTACAGCCAAAGTGCTTTTTTGCCTAGACTACAAGTGAGTCAACTTGCACAAAGCAAGCACCTACAACAGCAGTCTTAATAAAAAGAGATTATCCAGTCATCGTGATATTGGTTTAGGTATAGCTATTGGCCAGGACACTGGGGATAATACTGTTGCCCTGTGATACAGGCCACAAAATCTCAGCTAAAGAGGGCTAACATCAGCTTCTCAGTACTCCAAGTATCAGCCTTGATTTTTATGCCAAAGCTGAAGTTTTGAAAAGGCTTTTGTGCCATTGTTAGATAAATACAAATCATGTGATCAGTTCTTATGTAAAATTAATTGAGAACTACAGTTTCTGTAATGGCATCTGTTAGGTCCCTTCGACCACCACTTTGCTTGCACTCAAGTTATATCCTGTTTGCTGGAAAATGTTAAAACAGCTCTTGGAGAAGTACAAGGTGGGGCTACAATTCTCCAAATCAGTCACAATCAAAACACAAGGATGCTTCTTTGAATTTTAAAATCACAGTTTGTTTTCTCCTTGAGTTCTCAGTGACTAGGAAACCTTGCAGTGTTTCTGGCTTGATGGTAGGTGCCTGAAATTCACTGTCTGGTTTGACGCTCGAGACAGAATCGCTCATTTAAAGAAGGAACCTGCATCTGTACCTGAAGTGCAGCACCTGCAAGGTGACTGAACAGGTGCTGATAAGTAGGATCATATCTATTTTTCTAATCAACCTGTTCGGAGATATTATTACACACTTCTGGAGCAGGTGGGAATGGACAGCTAGTTTATTTAGATGGCACAGACATGAAGGACTGAATGGCTTCTGTTTTGGTGCTGTAATTTTTCTTTGGTTCTAATTTCACATTTAAAAAGTCTTACTACAATAATATCGTAATGCACAAATTTGTTACCTTTTTAATGTGCTGATTCACATTTCTAGCATCAATTACTTGCCACCTTTTTGGGTTAATCTTTTCACATAAAAGTGTATTCATACCTTCTCTGGCAACGAGTACACTGGCCACTGTGTCTGGAATACTGGTGCCTGCTGCCAACAGCGTGAGGCCCATCACTGTCTCAGGAATTTCCAAGGTTTCACCTGAATAATAAGTGGTTAAGTAGTGTTGAGTTGCCTGATTTAGGGAACATCCCTCTCTGTATTTACTAATAATCAAAATCTATGAACTGGAACAAGTTCTTCATAACATATGTAGTCAAAGATTGATCAGATGGTCACAGGGCTGTCTTCTACAATCTCAGCAAAATAAAGTTATTTTCTGATTTCAAGTTAGTTGATGCGACATGTTTTGATACAGCATACCGATTTTCACTGTCCAAGGCCCACATGTAATCAGGAAGGCTGTAGAATTATGCTTACCTCTTAAATTATAATCTGAATAGTAAAAGTTTATCATAGATAACACAGTGTGGAGCTGGAGGAACACAGCAGGCCAGGCAGCAGAGGGGCAGGAAAGCTGATGTTTCATATTGCTCCACACCGTGTTATCTCTGACTCCAGCATTGGCAGTTCTTACTATCTGTGAGCAATGCAAAATGGCTTCACAAAATGTGAGCACAGTGGTTTGATAAAATGTTTTACTGCTCCACCAAAGAGTGCTGCAAGGTTGATGTGCCATCTTTGGCTAAGGTAGGCGTCAACTTGCTAAAAAAGTACTGCATACCATTATTTGAAATGGAGTCCTTCTTGTGACCTGACCATCTTTCTTCTTCAAAATACTACCAAAACATAATTGGTTAACATTTATTTCAACTAAAGATTAGTGCAGCGTTGTCACCAACATGCTTAAATCCAAATAACCATGTTAATTTATAATTGTTAGTCATTCATGAGGATATTGGAAACAAAAACAGAAGTTGCTGGAAGAGCTCAGCAGGTCTGGCTGCATCTGTGAAGAAAAAGATCAGAGTTAACGTTTCGGCTACGGTGACCCTTCCTCAGAACTGTTCTGAGGAAGGGTCACCAGACCAGAAATGTTATCTGCGAAAAAAAAATCAGAGTTGCTGCCAGACCTGCTGAGCTTTTCCAGTAACTTCTGTTTTTGTTCCTGATTTACAGCATCTGCAGTTCTTTCGGTTTTTGTTCAGATATTGGAAACATTTGCTTTGCCCATTGATAATCTGCACAAGTTTATAAAAGCATTGGTTACTATGCCATGTGCGGTGACTTGTCCTTCTATTTGCTCCTTGCTTTGTCACTAAGTAACAAAGTAAATTGTGCAATGCACATTACACAGATCTTTGTATAAATGGAAGAGTTATTTTAATGATAGTAGGAACTGCCAGTGCTGGAGTCTGAGATAACCTGGTGTGGAGCTGGATGAACACAGCAGGCCAGGCAGCATCAGAGGAGCAGGAAAGCTGACGTTTCGGGTCTGGACCCTTCAGAAAACGAAGAAGCTCCAGACCCAAAACGTCAGCTTTCCTGCTCGTCTGATGCTGCCTGGCCTCCTGTATTCATCCAGCTCCACACCTTGTTATTTTAATGATCCTACCTGCTACAAAAATAGAAGTCTTAAAGCCAAGAGATCAATGTGCAAAGTTAGTGACATAAGAGAATGTATTGAATGCAAATCTTAATTTTCAATGGTTCATTGTATAATTGATATGCTCGGACAAGAACAAAAAGTTCATTCATAGCATTAAGTAAAACGACAGCAAGACTTACAAAAGGGGAAGTCAAAACCTGTGTGAAAGTATACCTTTTACAAATACCAAGAGGGAAAGCATTAATCCATTTACATTTAGTTTACCAAAAGGGAAACAGACTGAATAATATAGAGATTGTTCTTACCTACTATGGATACCATCCAAACTAATACATATGTAAATCCAGAAATCCACACAGCACTCAGGAAGAAAGTGAGCATGAACCACTTTCTCCATTGACGTCTACGACAGTCTGGAGTAGTTATGGACAGCAATGCAGCAATGGGAAGCGATAGTACCCACGTGATTCGCTTTGTATCTGATTCAGGCACTTCAAAAACATGGCATTTGTCTGTATGAAACAAAGATGACTTGATCACACAATTCCAATATTAGAAGAACGCGATCCAATTATGTTACTCAGATCCAGTTCATTTTTTTTCACCCCCTTGGAGTTCTGTGAAGTGCCTTGTAATGATTTCCTATGTTAGAAAGCTAATGACATTAAAACAAAAGAAAAATGCTGGAAACACTCAGTGTATCCTCCAGGAAGAGAACTGACATTTCAGGTATGGATTCTTCACTGGAACAATTTTGATAAAATTACCTCAACTGTAGAGCAGCAACCCTATCAACACATTCTGCCATCCAATTTAGTCATGACTAATGTGTATCCTATCCAAGTAAAGACTTTTTGTCCAAAATGTTGGTTTATGATTGAGATGGGAGGAGACCACTCTGTCTGTAGTTCCACTACTCCACAGGTCAACGCGTTTAATTGCTTTACCTAATTCCTGATGTGACAATGGTATGCTATTAGACTTGAAATCCATCAACCAGGTTTCTTTAATTAAAAAGCCCAAATTATTGACTATAAACAAAAAGAAAAACTTAGTCAATAATGATGCAAAACTTGTCGACATTCTGTAATACAAATATATAAATCTTACCCCTCTAACTAATTCAAAACACACATTCTCACACAGTGGGCATAGGGGGTGGGGAAGAAAACAGATTTTTCTTTGCAATGATTTGATTTGTGCGATTGGAGAAAGCACGGGGAAGATGACAAAAAAAAAATTGACCAATATGTCTAGTCCTTGAAGAGAAGAGAAAAGGATAGGTTGTGGATAATTCAGATGTCTATTGGTTTGATGTTCATGGATACAAAGATGGCAAGTCACCCCGGGATTGTAGCAAACATAGCTTGATGAGGATTATTCCAGACATTCTTCAGAAAGGCAAAGCTGGCTTCAGACTGTAGGACTGAGCAAAAATCCCTGTATTCTGAAATACTGGACCGAAATCCTGGACTTTGCAAATAACTTTTAAAAGTTTAATAAAAGGCAGCTGGGCTATGCTTTGGGAAAATTATACAGAGATAGCTGCTTGGAACACTGTTCAACCCGAAAATCCAATTCACATGTCAGCTCTAAAAGATCAACCAGACCTGGGAAAGCAATTTAACCCAGACATTATGGAACCTTTACAGATACCAAGACATTCAATTTCAATTAATATTCATTTGCAAAAATACTGGACATTCCACTTAATCAAAACATATTTACACCTACTCTAAACTATCAGGAAGCCAATTCACCTCAAAGGGGACAACAGAAACACAACGGATAACACAGATTTGAGAGGAGATAATGGAGCACACAGTCTGTATAGCTGCTAGCCCTGATCTGGGGAAGAGAGAGAGGGAGTTTTCAACAAGATCCCGCAGAAACAGCTTCCCCTCAGGCTCCAGCCCCAACATGCAGCTTTGGGACCAAGAACCACAGAGGCCGAACAGAGAAGCTGAATCAGAGAGACAAAGAGCATCATCACAACAAAGGACTTCCGAGTGTGAGTTGGTGGGTGGGGGACAACCAAGTGCTATCTCCCCAAGAGCTACCCCCACAACAACCCCGAGGAGAGGGATCTGAAAGAGCTACCGCCCTGAGACTGATCCCCACTGCCATCTCCAAACGAGGGATCCCAAACAGCTACTGTCCCCGTGAACGCTCTGCTCAGCTGTCTCTCTGAAACACTGGGCTACAGCAAGCAGGAACAGCCAGCTGTGTTTCAAAGTCTCCAACTTAGCTGCCAGGGAGGGGAAGGTGGTTGGTGACTGCGAAGAACCCCAGGGTTAGGAAGTCTGATTAAAGTTACTGTAATTAAAAGATAACAAGGTGTAGAGCTGGATGAACACAGCAGGCCAAGCAGCATCAGAGAAGCAGGAAAGCTGACGTTTAGGGTTTAGACCCTTCTTCAGAAATGACTCTACTGTAATTAAAACTACTGTTTAGCTTCTAATAGTATTTAACCAATATTTAATTTAATAGTGTGTTTGAGTACTGTCCTCTGTACAATTGATCATGTCTATTTCACTGTTTTGTATTTGCCTTTCGTTTCTTGTAATATATTCACTTTTTATATTTAATAAACAGAGATTCTTTTGCTCCTGAACCATCTGTCTACTGCCTTCTTCATTCACATTCCTAAATAAAGTCCAGGGATCTGGGGGTGATTCGAACCACCTAAAAATCAGCAAATTACTGATCGAAAACCAGAACCTGGGCCGGGGTGGAGAGGCTTTGAAACTGGTAAAATCGACATGGCCTAAATGTGGACTTACCAGTTTCAAAATCTCCCCAAACCTGGCCTCATCCCATGACCAACCCTCCCTCTCATCCCCACCTCCTTGACCTGACACAACCTGTCCATCTTCTCTCCCACCTATCCGCCCCTCCCTTCACACTGACCAATCCCCACCACTCCCTACCTGCACTCACCTATCACCATCCCACCTACTTTCCCCAGCCTCACCCCTCCTCTATTTATTTGAGCTCTCTACCCCCTCCCCATTTCTGAGGAAGGGTCCTGACTCAAAATGTCAACTTTCCTGCTCCTCCAGCTCCGCACTGTGTTATCTGTGACTCCAGCATCGGCAGTTCTTACTATCTATCAAATTATTGATGTCGAGTAGAACTTTAAAATGAATTTGGGTAGAAAGGAAAAGTGGAGTGTAATGTTCATTAAATAGTGTTGCAGAATATTTCTGATTAAAGTAACGGAAGAAATTCAATATGTTAAAATGTGAATAATTCAGTTTTGAAAGCTTATGGTAAAGAAAAAAGATACAAATTTGATCCCCAGGTTTTCTATTAAAAACAGATGCTGATAAAGTACAGTATTAATGGAGTATAATGCCCTCCTCGAGAGGTTAGTCTTATGATGAGAGATTGATCAGTTTAAACCAGTACTCTGCCGTTTCAAAGAATGAGAGGAGATCTAATTGAGGTATTTAAGATGCTAAATGGGATTGACAGAGTAGACATAGAAAGGATGTTTACTCACGCAGGGCAATCTAAAAGGACAGGTCATAGTTTCAGGATAAGGGGTAGCAGATTTAAAAGAGAGATGGGGAGAAACTGCTTCTCATCTGGAATTCACTACCCCAATGTGTGGTGGACACAGAACATTCAATAATTTAAAGGAGCAAACAGAGAGCTTTTCACTCAGTAATACGTTGAATATGTTGTTATAGGCAGCAGGCATGTGGCCAAGAATGAGATCAACCATGATCATATTAAATGGCAAAGCAGGCCGGAAGTTCTTATGCTCCTAGTTCTTATGTTCTTAAGCTAGTCTCCGTTTTAAAACATAATGTACTTTGCCATTCTATGTGCTTTGATTCTGAACTTGATCTTTCAGTTTTGATTGAGAACCTGTGTCCAAAAAAAATCAAATTATATCCACACATGCTCAGTGTGCTGTTGAGTTACCAGAATTTTCTTTTCTTGGTTCAGATTTTTACTTTTCTTTTGCTTTTCTATCAGAGCTTTTTCAACACTTCTCAGGTTCTCTTTTCATTTAAGTCTCCCACTTTCTAGGTTACTCACACCTCAGTATATAAATTTTTTCCAGCATTTTGTTGTATTATTTGATTGAGATGATGTATTCCTACCTCAAGCTTATAGGATAAAGGTAAAGATAGATGTTCTGCATTTTCTTCACCCTTCCATTTTCCAATTCTGTTATTAGACTTTTTTTTTTCTCTCCAGTGCTGAAGGAAAACTAGTTCAGGACATCAACCATGTCCCCACAGATATTGACTGATATAGGTTTAGGCTACAATATTCACAATACTTTTTTGGTTGTAATTGGACAGTGAGAGATGATTTTAATGAACAAAATTAAATCATTGTACAATTTGTGGTTAGTGTTTCCCTTATACTGCAATTTCAATAATTTCTATACAGAAGATTTCTGCTCTACAGTATGTTATGTTACAGTTCAAACCTGGAATCAACATCCAGTTGGAAGCATTAATGAAGTTGCCATCAGCTTGTTGGAAGTGTTCTGTTTCCTATAGAGTTCAAGCTTTGTATGGAAAATAGTTCCAGCAGACCACCACAGGAGGAAGTTGTTCAGCTTATCGTGTCCCTGCTGGCTCTCGAAGAGCAATTCAGCTAGTGCCCCACACTGACCTTTTCTCCCCCTCCTCAAAGCCTTGGGAATATTTTTATCCTGAGAATTATCTAGTTCCCTTTTGAGAGGCAAATCAAGTCTATCACACTATCACAATCTCAAGCAGTGCATCGCAAATCCTAACCACCTGCTCCTTGAATTTTCTTTTCCTCCCCTCATTTTGTTTCTTATGCTGTTGCCAAATCAATTTAAAAACCAGTGTCCATGAACCCAATTTTAAACATTACAGAGTGTGCATAAACACCTAGAAATTTAAATTTTGGCTGTTGCAAAACTGCACTTTAGATTGTTAGCTTCATATTAGGTTGTGACAGTAGAACAAACAGACACAAAATTATTTGATGATAAATGCGATAGAGGATCGATATGAAGGTCAACATCTGACAGACGAGAGTATGACACAAGTCAACTCCACATAAAAAGAGCACAGAAAAACTGAAAGAAATACACTCATTGGCTGATTAGTAATCAGCATCAGTATCCTGTGAAAAGCATGTTTGGGATTTTATTTTTGAAGAATAATTTCAATTTCATTCAGTCATTTTTCATTTTGAACATTGTAAATTTTTTAATTCATTCTGTCACAGCATCAGGGACCCAGGCTCGATTCCATTCTTGGGCGATTGTCTGGATGGAGTTTGCATGTTCTCTCCGTATCTGCATGGGTTTTCTCTGGGTGCTCCACCTTTCTTCCACAGTTCAAAGATGTGCAGAATAGGTGGATTGGCCATGGGAAACGCAGGGTTACAGGAAAGGGGTAAGGTCTGGGTGGAATGCTCTTCAGAGTGTCAATGCAGACTGAATAGGCCAAATGGCCTGCTTCCCCACTGTAGGGATTTATGACAGGCCAACATTTAATGCTGTGGAGATGGC